AAAACCAGTAATATTTTGCTCACCCCAGAAATCGAACCCGAGACCCCTTCTCTGGCAGTCGCACTTGCGACCAGACGGTAAATGGGGCAGTCCTGAAGGGTATTACCTGGGGGTCGTTAATAGTTAATAGTTTGCTTACGGGATGACGTGCTCCTTCGTAAACCGCATCATCGCTTACCACCAGGCGAGATAGTGGTCAAACGTCGGCCCATCAAATATAAAAAAAGTCTTCTCTTATTAGTATATTGTATAAAACGGCCGTCCAAGTACTAGTAACATAATTGTTTGACGCTTATAACTTACCATCAGGTGATCTCTCAACTCATTTAACCCTATCTATAATAAACCAAAAAAGACAGACCTTCTCCGTTTGAAACCCCCAGCCAGCCACAGTGAGGAATTTTCCAAAATGGTTGCTTATTTTTATAGGCGACACCAGTGTAGTATAATGAAGAGGTCGAAGGAGCACCAGCAGCTGTATGTCATAGTCAAATTGATGTCGAAGCTGATACTCAGGATGTATTAAATGCTTGCTGATGATGATCTTTGCACCCTTTAGACGGTGGCTGCTTCTGACCCTGATGTAGTAGTGGTCTATGCTGAAATAAGGTATCACAAGCAATCAATAAGTATTCTCCACAATCTCCATAAAAAATAAAGTTCGGCAAGAATGGGCCGGCTCGACCGGAGTGATACCACGGCCTCACAGAAAACCGACGTGAAACAACGATTGCATTGTGTTTCGTCGTGTGAGTGAGGTTACCGGAGGCCTAATTACCCCCTCCCTAGTTCCCGTCTCCCGAATCCCCGAATACTCCACAATCCTCAAATTCTTAATTCCCAAAAGGCCGGTAACGCACTTGTAACGTCTTAGTGTTTTGAGTGTCCTTGGGTGGCGTCGATTGCTCACCATCAGGTGATCCGTCTGATCGATTACCGGCTTATGCTATAAAAAAAAATCTCCCCATCTCTAAATCGAACAATCCTCAAATTCCTAATCACTAAAAGGCTAGTTGCTTCAGCCCGGTGTTTTGGATGTCTATGAGCGGCGCCGATTGCAGCTCATATACCGGCTTATCCCATAAAAAAACCTATTATCATTCGCTTGGTTGGACAATCAGCTGCCCCGAAACAAAAGAACTCTGTGTGATCCGCATATTCTTGTTTCGGGTCTGTGTGTTATGTGTATGTATGAGAACTTGAACACCCATGACACAGGAGGAAGTTTTAGTGTGGGGCAATGTTCTATTTGATAGAAAATATTCTGCATAAGACACTTCTTATTAGATAAGTTGTGAGTTCCACAGTGAAGGTGAGCCTTTTACCATTCACCTGCCATAATCTCAAACCCTCGACACAAAATATTAATAGAGAGGATACTCCGAGAATCAAAATATTCTTAAGCTTATTACACTTCACGAAAGCCCAATCGACTGCCAGATCAAGCGCCGCAAGTGGGGATGGATAGGGCACACGCTCCGAAGGGATCCTGACCACATACCCAAGCAAGCCTTGGATTGGAATCCCCAAAGGAAAAGAAAGCGTGGCCGTCCTCGGCAAACCTGGCGTCGCACCGTACTGGCAGAAGCGACGAGCATCGGTATGACGTGGAGTGAGGTGAAGCGTGAAGCTCAAGACAGATCGCGATAGAGAACTTCAGTGGACGCCCTCTGCCCCATCTAGGGGACACAGGATATCAACATAACGTAACATCACACTGGCTATCATTCCACTGAGAAAAATAATTATGATTGAACTTACCCACAATGTGCAGAGGTGACCGCCCATTTTTTATGAATTAAAGCTCCTCCACAAACATCACCATAGTTCACTTGGTAAGGAGCATTACTTATTTTAATCTCATAGCCACCCATTATACTGAATCAAAAAAAAAATATCGTTCTTCAGTTTATCCTTCTTCAGTTTTTGTATACCTAAGCCCTATTTTATTATAATGACCTGAATAATTAATAGGTCTTGCTATACAAAGCTGTACAATTTTTCCGACCATAAGATAAACTCAAAACCAGTATTCAACAAGTAGAAAAAATCCTACAGAACCATTATCAAAACAATAATCTACAATTATGAACCCTAATTCAAAACAGATAAAGATTAATCCGTGTCAATTTCAAAATCGATTTTTGACGTCATAGCTACCAAAACACATAACTTACCAACAAACAATAACAAGGTTGGTTAAAAACAATATAAATTCGAAATGCATTAGTATTAGTGCACGATAACTAATTTGTCTAATCACAAGTCAATTCGAAACTATTAATTGAGATTTAAGCGAGAAATTAAAATGCTCTTCGTAACACAAAACACGTGTGATATCATAAAATTTTTGGTATTTAATCGGTATTGGTACAGCACATTAAAGTATACTATACCACCAAAATTCTTTCTACAATTTCCAACTTTAATACAAAAGTAAGAAGGTTTAATATCTATTGAATAGGTTGGACTAGGTCCATTTGTTTGTGTTACATACACATGTTTAATGATGATTAATTAATGATTAAACACCATTTTATAATACCATTTCCTTTTCTGGTAAAATCTAGTCATTGGCAGATACGGAGCTGCGGAGAACGTAAAATGTTACTAGAGTTCCGACTGGAAGCAGGAGAAAAAGAACGCGATAGTTTTTACTCAGTAAGAGTCTGACATTCTTTCTCGCCTCACCTGGGCGGGGGAAGTGATTCGATGATTTTTAAAAGCCTTAGGCATGTGACCACCATCTTCTTTGAGGTCACTGGTTCCTATTCTATGCACTAATGGCCACAAAGGTCCGCCTGCAAGTCATACAGGCAGGATAACAGCGTGATAGTATCGAGGCTATTGCGACCACGACGGCTTCTATGATCAGAATCGGCTCTTCTGCGTTCCCGCTCTGCAACCTTCTTTTATGTTCTATAACAGTCTCACAAAAGACGGGCACTTCCATTCAATTTCCTCTTTACTTTGCCAGCAGTAGTTAAAGCTATGCTGGCTGTGGTTACACCTAATCCTAGTAACCAGGATCCGCCGCTCAGATACCATCGCTAGGCACTCTTTGACCGTGTGTACTATGCAGAATCCAGGTCACCACCACTTTGGTGGAAAATTTCTTGGCCAGAGTCCAATTCAAGTACTTATCGAAGTTACAATGTCCGGTCAGCACCTGAGTGTGCCTGAAAGAAGACACGCTCCTCTCTCTTTAGCTACGCTTCGAAGTGCAGCAGAATGGCTTCGACAAAGCTGTTGTAGACTCTCACGCCACTGCTTGAGGGCTTGCCAACTTCTTGCCGCCTCAACCTAAGGAACCTAAACGTCATGTCGGTTAAACGGATAGCACATTTCATGTCTAAAGTTCTTTGGAGAATACAAGGTGTGATGCTGTAAAAATCCTAATAAGGACCATTGGCCAACCACCATTAGTTAATTGCCTCAAAAGCGTTACATAATTTGTTACTGAATCATCAAAATTTATTTAGACTTTATGTGCTTGTTGATTCAGTAATAGGAGTAGCAAGTGACAAAGAGTAAGAGTGAAATGGTTTTATTTGTCCTGGCAATCCTAATTCTAAATTACTCTTGTACCCACAAGTGTTAATCATCACTTCATCACAGAGGAAAGTGGAAATTATTTGTTCTATTCTCCTCTATCGATAATATCTTCGGATTTTTTTATTGTCGAATCCAAAAGGGTTTTTTAAGGGGGGGAAACCATCGAATGACTTCTCCCGCCTGGGTGAGACGGGAGAGAGTGTCAGACTCTTACTGACTAAAAAGCACCCCGTTCCTTCTCCTGCACGTCGAGCCGGAGCCCCGGTAACCCGTTAGGTTCTCCACGACATCCAAAAGGGTTAGTCCATGTCCCTGGAAGATTGTTTCAGAATGGAAGACTGTTTGAGACTTGTTTTGAGGTTTTTATGGAATTAATCTACTGTAGAACCTGGCTTAGAGGAGTTGCAACGGTTTTGGAAATTTCGTGACGAATTAATCCCAATAAAAAAGTAATGTACGTACCTAAATAATTTAAGTAAATGTTGGTGTCTTACTGACATCTTTATAAGACTTTATAACGACGAAGAGAGATTTTTTTGGTAGACTATTTTATGATAATACCAATGAATTAAAATTTATAAATAAAGCTGATAAAGGTAAATAATCAACATGCCTCGTTAGGCGAGGTGATTTGTGGATGGATACTTATAATATTCAATATGAAGTTAAAGATTCCTCTGTGGTAAACCATAAAGGCATTTCAAGACGTTTCGTGCTAAGACACGATGACATCTCCTTGATTAGCATACAAACATCTGTCATGATATTTATTGGTAGCTAATAGGGAACTCAAAATAATATGATGATTATTTTGACTACCACTTTTATAATAAAGAGCATGTTTATTGTTATTTTCTTATGTTAAAGAACATCAGTATGTTGTTTGCAAATCTAGGTTAGATCAAATATACTATGGTCAGCGTCTTTATTGTATTTGAATCAGTATTTTAATTCCTTAGCATCATCAGAAAGACGATCTTTACTAAAAAAGGCTCGTCCGAGTCCTTAATACCTCCTCTTTTTTCTGGACACAACTTCCCAAGACCGTTTCAACTGCTGTAAGCCAATTATTTAACTAAATTAAGGGCCGATTTTCCAATGCTAGATAAATTTTAACTAAGGAATAATGTTCCTTACTAAAAACTATCAAATGACAGTTTTATTCTATAGTTAAGAATTACCTAATGATTGAGAAATCGGTCCTTTGTCAAATTAAATGAGTAAAAGTAAGGGGTAAGAAAAATAACAAAACACATTAAAGTGAAATTTATTTTCTTAACGAACAAAATATGTAGAATGTTTCCCTGCTTTTGTATAATTTTTAGAATGTACATTTGAAAATTTAGCTTCACTAACAGATTGACATCATTTTTGATTAGAAATAGATGAAGTAACAAAATTCATGATGTTCCTGAATAATTTATTTTCGGTAACAAAATCAATCTTTAATCGAATGTGATTCCTGTTGTCTGTTCGATCCATGTTCTGACTTTAGCAACCTTGCTGTATACTCCATAAGATCCGGGAGTGGCACACCCATAACCGAAAGAAACCATTCCCAGAAGTCGGTCGTATGCTACTGCTGGGCCTCCTGAGTCACCCTGGAAAGGAATTTTTTATTTTAAATTTACTATTCATTAACAAATTCTTATTTTCTGCCCGGTTTGTTAATGGTTAATCGAGACGGTCAAGATTTTAGCAATTATTTTGATGATTACTTTTTCGACCATTTATTATTAATGTACCATACCGTGTTGAGCTTCTTTAATAGATCACATATTTAGTGGTACCTACAAATGACACCATAAAATCTTATTGGAATAAAACAATACAATTTTTGGGTTTACCTGGCAAGCATCTTTCTTTCCTTCCGCGTATCCCGCACAGAACATTCTAGCAGTTAAACTTCCTCTGAAATATGGGAACGGCACATTTTGACAGCGCTCTTTTGATATTATCGGCACCCTGACTGCTCGAAGTACGTTTGAGTATGGACCCTGGAAATAAAGATAGCATTCCTTATTATGATGATAATAAAATGACATGACAAAACACACATAATTAGAAAAGAAATACAGAATTACATTCAAGTTAAGGTGTTCCTCAGGGCACCATCTTCGGCCCGACATCACTTTCCAATTTACATTATTTCGAATATTCGTAACTATAATATTTAATACGTAATAATTACACGAACAAGTATATAGGAGAAGCAGTACATGCGGCGCACCGCTAAGGTTTACGAAGTTTGCGCTATAACTGCGGCCAACTAGTTTATAAAAGATTGTTTCCAATTTGTATCGTTTGACCAGCTAATAGAAACGTGTAGATGGGCGGAACCAATGCGATTTTAATTTACCGCTTGGTTTATGCCTAACATACTATATCTAAATCGAATCAATCTTGATATGTATTAAATTGAATATTATATTTCAGAATTTCTTTGCTTACTTCACGTGGAGGATAAATTATGGTTTGTTTCATTCGATTAATGTTGTAAGTATGTATAATGAAAGAATTTAAATAGTTCAAGGTACTGCCTTAGTAGAGGAATAATAGTTTCTTAAAAAATCGAAGAAGTATAATTTCATTGTCTAAGTGATGGCTAAGCTAATAAGAATTAAAAACTAGGTTGAAACTTTATTTTTTTATATGAAATTTAAGTATAGCATAGCATCGACTGATTGATTTTCTATGGGATAAGCCGGCAAGTACGCAGACGGATAACAGGTGGTAAGCAATTGCCGCCGCTCATGGATATCCGAAACACTAGAGGTGGTTGCCGGCCTTTTGGGGATACTTAAATAGTAAATATAGTTTAATGTCCAAATCATTCTTTTATATCGACTTGAACCCCATCTTTTTTGTAGTCGGTTAAATAATCACGAATTTCTACTCTCTCAGATTAGTTGTACTAGTAGTACTAGTACTTGATGTAAGATTAAAGATACAATGGTTTATTTAAGAAAGGTTCTCATATTCTCATCTTTACTTACGTTTTCCTCAGTGTTGCCCCAACCAGTTACAGTTATAACTTTCCCTATAACCATATCTTCAATATGTGCTATCTTAATAGGTTGTATATTCTCCTCAAATTTCAATGGCTCACTTAATTCCAGAAGTTGGAAATCATAGTCAAATGGATGTTCCTTCTTTTTGGCTGTCCACATTGGATGTACATATCCTTTCTTTACATTTATTTTCTTTCCTTGGTTTATGTATTTTGAACCCGCCCTTATGTATGACTTCTTGCTTTGGAATGATTAATGATATTATTTTTAGTAAACATCAAGATATAACTGTAGAATAATAAAGTTTTAGAGTAAAGTTAAGTAGGAATAAAATTACAATCTATGATGATTTAAAATTTGCATAGCTAGCAAACCAATTGAATAGTTCATAAGTTAATTTCATCCACATGTTTCAACTGCCTGCCATCTTTGATTTTTATCAAAGCTACTAAGGACTAACCATGTTGATGATGATGATGACGATGAGTGACTGAGTTGATGACTTACGTAGTTGTTGAACCAGTTAAAATATTATAAAACAGATGATATTGATAATAAAAACTAATGCTCATCTCACCCACAATGCCCGGCAGTTAAGACCCATCTCTTATCAATAATTGCTCCACCACAGTTTGAACCATATCCAACATGATAGGGATACAAATTGATCTCAACTTCAAAACCTCCAACAATTTTATCATCACCGTAATTGGATTCGAAATCGTAAGCTCGGAACTCTCCAACCCTTTCTCCATCGCGGTCTTTTCCATATTCGGAACTATCTCTATTTGCTACATCTGTTCCTCTATCCTCATAAGAATCAAAATCGATTCTATCTGAATCATCTTTCTTGAATCTCTTTGAATATCGCTGTCTCTGCATCGGCGAGTAGTTCACATTTTTTGTTTTGATCGGTAATTTTTGTACTGGTATCAATAGAACATCGTACTCTGAAATTTTTGAAACAAAATAATAGATTAATCACTTTTCTTTGCAAATTGAGAAATTAGAATAGAAGAAAAGTTCCTTTTGCACTGTCCAGACATTCAGAAGTAACAATTTAGTCAAGATTTCGTAATTTTTATTTGATGCCGATAATTTAATGGGTAATAATCATTCCTTTGCTAAATGAAATGAATGGCTTAGTGAAATCACATTACAAATTAATCCTCAAATATATGGTGTTATATCTTACTGTTATTGAGTTGAATTAATAACGGAGCTGTAAATAAATCAAATATAAATAATAAATACACAAATACCAAACTAGATGAAGCCACATAATCTGTAACCTAGAAGAAGATGATTAAAACAACAATCTAAATGATTATACTAACAACAATGACGTTAATAATATTATACAAGTGAATATTAAAATGGGTCAAAGTTCTAAAATGGATGTTAAAATCCCAACTTTACTAAATACTTTTGATGAGAATGATGCTAATTTAGATGATAATAATAATACAAAGATCCCACCGAGTCCAAGAACTTCCATTCCAAGAAAATATGCAATGATTGGTGTCATCACCCAACTTAGTTACTATTAAATGACCAAAATATAGATAAACTTTGTAGACACGTACTGTCCAGCTGAGCGGGAATCGAACAGTGTAATAGTACTATCGTAATTAAAAATATATTACACATTATGTTTGAAAATTATCTTGTGATCTTCATCACGATGCTTCGTCTTCGCCACGGAACAATTTCTGATTTTTAATATTCAATTTGAAACCAATGATTGTGAAATTGTTAAAGTTAATACGCCATGAAATTAATAATTCATATGCTGGTTTTCCATTTCTGCGTGAGCACTGTTTCATTGTTTTCTGTAATTGCTACATCGTTTTTCTTTTTCTTAAAAAATACTGTTTTAATTCTGTGAGTTGATTTTTCTTTAAATAATTTTAATTTTACTATTAAAGTTCACAATATTTGGTTTGATGTTTCCAGTTTCTTATTTAGCAGTGAGTCTGTCCTGACATCTAGCGGAAATCGGAGTAAATTCAGCTTCACTCAGTGTCGACATCTGTTGGCTCTTTTATGAACCTTACAGTTATTGTTTTGATGTTAATAAAATTGTTTTCTGTGAATAATAACTAATTTAATACAACTAGTGTAAAAAGCTTTAAATAGATACTAGGTAATTTCGGTTTTTCAATTAAATGGAATTCGGTACCTATTCAACAACCTGTTTAAATAGTGCGTTAGCGCCATCTAGTATCGAATAGCGGCCAAGTGTGTTATAACTTTTAGTATGTTTTTTTTAAGTAGTATATGCAGTATTTAAGTGATGATAATATTGACACTTAAAAATGGATTAACCAATAAAAAAACATCAATTTTTTATAATATTCTCTTCAACATATTCTAGGTCATATCTGTTTTAGAAATAATAAAAAGATCTTTCTATCATCTTCATCACGTCATCTAAAAATAGAGCACAATTTCGATTAAAAACCACAAAGCTGAAAACAAAAACATCAAATGGAAAGCTGAAAACAGATACAATTTTCATCAATAACTGAAAACAGGCCTACCAACACTGTCAATGCACACGGAGTAAATTCACCTGAAACACAATAAAGTTTATATTAACAACTTGTTTATATTTCTCATTACTTTTTCTGTTTACTCTTGCTGTGTGGCAGCATACATTTATGTGACCATCGCTACTCCTCCCGTGGGTATCGTAAGACAGAGACTATATATTTTACAGTGACAGGCCCGGGGAGGACTTAACGGTTTGCTGGGACTCCGGCTCGAAGTGCAGGAGTAGGATCACGGTGGTTTTTAGCTAGTAAGAGTCTGACACTCTCTCTCACCTCACCCAGGCGGGAGCAGTCATTCGATGATGAGTGATTCATAAAAAAAGGTATTGACCTGAAGAACCTGGACCTTTCAAACTGGGTCCTCCAACCTGTCGATCAAGCGTGGTAATATAGATAACTCCTTTTATGTAAAGGAGGAAGCCCATCAGTGGACTGTGTATTTTAAAAGTCAAAGTCAAAATTATTTATTTTAATTAGGTAGTCCAGAAAAGCAGGTTCAAAAGTCAACAAAAAAATTGAAAGTGAAGTTTTTTGCTAATTTATAGTATAGATTCCTGTGAAGGCGAGCAAGATTTTTTATGCACGCCTATTGTTCTAGAAATATGTAGGTAGACAGAAGTGTTCTAACAATACCGAACTTTTATGTCAGCTATGTCCATTCGTCGGATTTTTTTTTTGTATTTCGTTTTGGCTTACTGTTACCGGCCTACTTTTTCAAATAAACGGTTTATTAAAAAAAATAGTCGGCAAATTTTTTTACCGAGTGCCTAAAAGTTAAAAAGATAATTTTTGGACATCAGAATCAAAAGCAAATACTGTTGTTTGGCTCATTTGCTTGTCGCCAATTGTCTGAGAAGATATTTTATAATATCTATAAATTTTTGTACTTTATATAGGGCATGTCTTTTTGGATGGACTGCTACCTAAACCACAATATGCACTTACCGACAGACTGACGAACAATAACAATTTTGCTAATTATTAATTTTTTTTCTTTGATTTCTCATTTTTGGTAGATTTTTCGATACAAATAAGAATGTTTATAGATTTCATTATCACGGTCATAGTGATTTGGGGCGTGCAGGTGGCAGTACTATGGTCACAAAGGGATTCGTTCCGAGTTTCCTTGAGCGTACCGCTAAGGAGTGAAATTCCTTGCCAGAGTCTCTGTTTCAAGAATGGACTCAAAATTCCGAGTTATTCATCATTTTATTTTTTCTAGTTAATGTATGATTGCAATATTATGAAACAGCCATTTCTTATATGATAAAAGTTTTCCAATAAGATAATTTTAGTATAGGCTAATTGCAAAAAAAAAAAATATTGAACACGCCTCGTTTTAAATAGGTACGTACTTATTCCTGAACAATTAATTTCGTCTATCTGTCTGTCTGTTTGCCTAGAAAATATATTATATGTGTATGACAATAAAACATTTCTTTTTTTATGGCATAAGCCGGTAAACGAGGAGACGGATCACCTGATGGTAAGCAATCGGCGTCGCTCATGAACACCTGGAACACCAGAGGCGTTACAAGTGCGTTACCGGCCTTTTGGGGATTAGGAGTTTGAGGATCGTTGGGGATTCAGGAATTGGGGAGATTGGGGAAGGGGAGGATAATTGGGCCTCCGGTAACCTCACTCACACGACGAAACACAACGCAAGCATTGCTTCACGTCGGTTTTCAGTGAGGCCGTGGTATCACTCCGGTCGAGCCGGCCCATTCGTGCCGAAGCATGGCTCTCCCACAGTTAAATATCTAATTCTAATCGACTTCAAACAAAGAGGGAATTGAAGACAGTTTCTTCTTCAAAGTTTACAAAAAAATAATGTAAGTACGGTACCCTAACTGTATGATTTAGCTACGCTTTTGAACAAATCTATTAATAAAAACGACGAACAGTAAATACTATTACGCAGAAATTGGTTGATAGGAATCGTGGACGCTAGTAATGCAGTCACTCGTTGATATCAGTGTTTGATCTCATGGCCAGACAATGTGTTATTGTTGGTGGTTTTTGAGTATAAATTAATCTAAATTACTATATTTTCGGGTTACTCACGTTATTACATGAGTAACATAGTAATTTATGCAATATGTCTCACGAAAGTTACAATACATAAATTAATCTATACAGATAAATAAAATTGTAGTCATGAACAGTCTATAAATGCTCACAGCAGAACAAAGCCTCTTCTCACACAGAGAAGGTTTGAGCATTAATCACCACGCTTGCTCAATGCGGGTTGGTACAAAATTTGAGTGTCTGTTTGTAATATTAAAATAACTGCTTTTTACTACATGCGTATGAATACACATACGATATAAGTATCGTATCCAATGAAAATATTTTAATATAAGTATTAACATATTTTCATTGGATTAGCCAGTACAAATAGACAGACTTCTTCTGGAATGGCTGAACCGATTATGACAGGACTTTTATTGGCAGGTAGATGACGTACTTAAGAGTAACATAAGCTACTTTTAATTTGGCATATTTAAATAAAAAAAAACATAGGTACATAACATCACGCCTCTTATCCCCGTATTTATGTAGTGAGTTCATATCGGGCATGATTCCAGACTTCGTGCTACTACTGAGATTTTTTTTAAAACCTAGTTATATTTCGCCCGACCCGGGAATCAAACCCTTGCCCGACAGTCGTACTTGCGACTACTTCGCCAACGAGGCAGTCTCAAAGCAGCAGCAAGGACAACAATAAAAAACCCTATTTCATAAAATTCACATTCTATGTGGACAACAGTTAGTAAATAATAAAAATCAATATACCTCTATATAAATAGCCCATCATAGATATTTAAATCCATGAAACAAACAGTCCTTTATAACATAGCATATGTCAATCTTACATCGAAAAACTGACCTCGGCAACCATAGCTTGACCAAACAGCGGTCAGTTAACACAGTTGTAACTCAGGAATGAACTCCTCTACAAAATACGTACTTAAATTAATTTACATAAGTCACATAAGAAGCTAGTAAATGAAATAGAATCGAAAAAGTATGGGAGAGCCATGCTTCGGCACGAATAGGCCAGCTCGACCGTAGTGATTCCACGGCCTCACAGAAAACCCACGTGTAACAACGTTTGCGTTGTGTTTCATCGTGTGAGTGAGGTTACCGGAGGCCCAATTACCCAATCCCTGAATCTCTAATAAACCTCAAATTCTGAAAAGGCCAGTAACGCACTTGTAACGCCTCTCGTATTCCAGGTGTACATGGACGACGCCGAATGCTTATCATCAGGTGATCCGTGTACTCGTTTACCGGCTTACCCCAAAAAAAAAACACTTCACCAAAACCCTCATTCGACAGTCATTTTACCATTTATTCTACCATAAACTCTCAAAAACCTCCATTGAAATTGCACCACCAAAAAGTCATGGACAGATTCCTGTCTACCAAGACTTAGCCGTTCCACCAAAAAGTTTTATAATAACATTATTAACCACACAATAAATGGGGGGAAAGGGGGGAGTAAATAAGCTTCAAGGGGATGAATACATAATGAAATTTCGCCCCTAGCGTCCGTTAATCAAAAACTGGTGCAGAGACGGCGAAATACGTAAGAAAATGGAAATTTTCCAACCCTCCTTTTTCCTGTTAGAGTCTACCCCCTAAGTAGGGGGAGGTCGGACAATCTCCCCCCACCGGGTGGCTGCTAGAGAGGCGACGGCTTTTTGTATTTAGATATTATTTTTTTAGGTATTGTTTATGTAAATACTTTATAATTACATAATGTTTGTTTGCTGTTAGTTTTTAGGAATGAGTGTTTGAATGTCATTTCGACTCGTTATTGGCGAAATGGACGTAAGTCACACGACACGACAAACAAGTCAAAGGTTTCGGTTTCGATTCCCGGGTCAGGTTTGCTTATTATTGGAGTTTTTGAAAATTTCTAAGTAGGTAAAAGATAAAATGGAGTCCGTCACCGTACCCGATTAGCGTAACAGTATGTTATTCATACGAGTACTACGTATAATAGTTTGTTTTAAATACACCATGAAAACTATTTCGTTTTACTAGAAGTAAAATGGTTATGTCTCAATAATACAATAGTTTAAAAAA